GACTTGGGTTAGACTTGCTTGCCTATGTCTCCCCCCCTCTCTCTCTCGCATGTCTATGGATCTCTCCCCATGTGTGTGAGCGGAAGGGCAATCTTTCTGATGTCTTGCCCTTCCGAAGTTTATCCGTGTCTGTCTGTTCATGTGTCCTTTCGTTACTAGATATTCCGCTGCGCTGCTTCACAGCCCATGATGATAATGATACGAATGTGTTGTTGTTGATTTCTCGTTGGGTTGCTCTTTGCATCATGCACATTGACATCTTGTGAATGCTGCACCTATGCTGCTGGTTGTTGCCACTTTCGTCATTGCTAGATCCTAGGCTGTCAGTGCATTTCACTTTCTGATATGCTACAAGTGGTATCGAAGCTAGTGCGATTAATCTTGGCAACAACCACTCAATCGATTGATTGATTGGATTGGTGGTTTGCCACCAATCAATCTTCGATTGATTGATCAGTCAATCAGGAGATTGATCGAACAATCGATCAATCAACCAGCAATCATCTGAGATTGATTGATTGATTGATTGATTGAATTGATTGATTGATTGATTGATTAATTAAGTTGATTGATTATTTGACAATTGTTTATTTAATCTTGGAAATTTCCCGGAATTAATAAGTTATTTATTTTTTTTTGAGAAATTATTTCTTTTTTCGAGAATTTTTTTTCCGAGAAATTATTTCTTTTTTTGATAATTTTTTTTTTTCGAGAAATTCTTACTCTTTTCCGGAAAATTATTTTTCCGAGGAAATTGGTTTCTGAGAATTTTTTTTTCGTTCTGAGAATTCTTTTTCCGAGAATTTTTTTTACCTTGTTTAATTGTTAAATGTCTGCATTTTGATAATTTCGCGATTCTTTTTCCGAAACTGTCCCTCTACACTTTCACTGCGTAGGTCTGCAAATTCCGTCCTTTTTTAAAAAAAAACAACAAAAAACAACATTTTTTTTCTTTCGCAACCTACTCCTACTCTGCGTTATAAAGACCCTTCTTTTCTGATTCTCTGCAGTCCGAGCACCGAAGGTTCACATTTGCTTTCTGCATCACCTTCGGTACTCAGTGGGATTGGACAGAATTTTTCCGAATTTTAAAGTTTTGTTTTTTTTCTTTTTGACTAGGAAACTGTTCAAATTGGGATCTGTCCGATCCTTCCCACTTGTCTGCTTCCTACCTATTCCTCCCCCTCCAGTCCGGGTACTGGGCCAGTCTATCAGAGTGGCCCTCGGGTGACTCTTCAGACTTCGGGCACAGCAGTGCATGACACTGCTCAGTCGATCACAGACCAAGGCCATGGACCGGAAGGCGGGAGAATCCCTCCTGGCCTATGAGGAACGCCTGGCGGCATTCATTCAGGAGGCCAACAATAGGGCCGCCGCCGCGGCCAAGGAACGTAATTGGCTCGAACAAGAGAAGGAGGCCAAGCGTCAGAAGGAGGAACAGGACCAACTTCGTTAAGAAGAGGCAGACCTGCAGGCGGCAGCCGAACACCGGTCACGCCAGCGGGAACGACTGTTCACGCGGAAGACCGTGATCGGCGATGAGGCCGCACATTGGGTGGAAGTGACATCTGCAGACGGGGCCCCGGAGACTGAGAAAGGGCTGTCAGCCCTTGCGCAGGTCTCCCACGACCTCGTGGCCACCTGCGCTCTGCAGCAGGAGGAAATCCTTCACCTGCAGCAGACAGTGGACCAGATGCTCGCACGGCTGCAGGCGTTGGAGAAACAGCCAGCTGCTGTAGCAGCCGCAGGGCCTTCCACCCTTACCACCCGTGTGCAAGTTTTGGAGGATGACGTCAGCAATCAAGCGTGTGCATGAGGACTTCCGGACGTCACAGCAAGCAACGAACTTGCAGTTGGCGATGCAGGTACAGGCTGCTGCCACCGTGACACCCGCCGCCACATCCTCCCGGCGCCCACCCAAACTGGATGACATTCCATTTTTCTGCGATCAGTCAAAAACGGAACCGATCCCGTGGTGGCGCCAGTTTACTCTCAGGCTCGACAAGCACCATGTCCCGAAACCACCGATCTGGTGGTGCCAGTCAAGCATGGCTGGACAAGATCTTGACCAGCCACGGCGTAGCAGTGTCGGAACTGCACACCAAGCTCACTTGGCAGGAGTTGACCGACGGCGGACACAAGCGATTCCAAGTGGAGTCGCCCGACCTGCAAGCGATGGAGAAGCTCAAAAAGCTCCATCAGAACACGCTGCTCAGTCAGGACTGGATTACCGAGTTCCAAAGACTCGCCTCCACACCTGACCTGCCGCTTGCCTTCCGTGCCATTAAGCACTTGTTTATCATGCGCTCATGTCCAGCTCCGCAAAACGCGCTGACGCAGATTGCAGAGACACTCGACACATCCGACAAGCTTTTCAGCATCGCGTCACGGATCATTCTCACGAATATCGAAGCCCGCAACGCCGGCCGATCTTCCGCGACGACGAGCGGCACCCAGCCCAAGCCAAAGGTGGCTTGCATTACTTCTACCGAGGCTGCAACACGAAACGAGGGTGAAGTGTTGGCAGCTGCCCGGGATGGTGGCCGGCCGCGCAACAATCACGGCCACGACAAGACGAAGACTCAGTCCACCTCTACACCGAGCACCGGATTAGCCGCCGACGAACCTTGGGCACAATACGGACTCTCGGCGAATTCTTATCGCACGAGACTCAAGTACCGTTTTCTGCCTTTGGTGCATCAGCACCATCCACGATGCTGCACATTGCCCCACCAAGGGGAAACCCCGTCAGGGAAAGTAGGCGCCGCCGAGGGTGACTCGACACCTCCCTCGACGCCATCGGAAGCGGTTGTGCGCACGACCGCCCTTTCTTCCGAGGCATATGCGGATGTCGGGAGTCTTCCACTTTCGTTCGAAGACTTCGCTGCTCGGCTCGTTCCTTCACTGGATGCTTCTCAAGGACAMGATACATGTGCGGTTTTCTCACCGTCCGAAGGTTCTTTCGCCAGTTCGTCTTCATCAAGGGATTCGACAGGCATGTTCAACGAGGAGGCTTTGAACCACCTCACATCCGAGGACTTCGCTTGGATTCTTCTCCCTACAACAGGCAACCTTCCGGGACCGCAAAGCGCAGCCCTATGCGCCCTCTTACACAAGTATCTTTCCTTCCATGCACCACCAACTTCGCCGACGGTAGACGAAGTCGCGGTGGGGGACATGCTTGGCTACGTTGCCAAGGTGGCCCACGAGTTTGTCTCGCAACGGTACGAAGAAAACARCRCACCGTTGCTCTACGTTYGCATTCAGATTGGGCAAGCGGCCTGCAACGCTTTGCTAGATTGCGGCGCAACTYGCAACTTCATCAGCCAGTCCTTCATGACTCGGGCTGGCCTTGGCGCACAAGTACGGAGGAAGTCACATCCGACGACGGTCGCTCTTGCCGACGGTAAGACGAAACAGCTTTTAGACCGTTACATCTCGGCTGTCCCGGTGTACTTTGCACCGCACGCATGTGAACCCGTCACTTTTGACGCGTTGGACACCGACTCCGATGTCATTTTGGGGATGCCTTGGCTTTCTGGCGCGGACCACACGGTCAATTTCCATCGACGCACACTCACGATTCGTGATGCAACTGGCGCCGAGGTCCCGTGTACTATTTCTCCTCCTCGCTCTTCCATTAGGTGCCAAGTCGTGAGTGCCAAATCTTTTCGAGACACATGTCGTTCGGAGAATGTCGAAGAGATTGGCATCGCTTTGCTTCGAACCGTCCCGACGACCGATTCATCATCCACAGAGGTGTCTTCCGACCCCCGTGTGACCCGGTTGTTAGACGAGTTCTCGGATGTTTTTGAGACACCCTCCGGTATAGTGCCGGACCGGCCAATCTCTCACGAGATCATACTTGAGGCCGGCGCCGTCCCTCCGGTATAGTGTCGGACCGGCCAATCTCTCACGAGATCATACTTGAGGCCGGCGCCGTGCCACCAAAAGGATGCATTTATCGCATGTCCGAGGAGGAGCTCACGGTTCTCCGTGCGCAACTCGACGATATACTCGACAAGGGTTGGATCCGCCCTAGCAGCTCACCTTACAGTGCGCCCGTTCTCTTCGTTCGCAAGAAGAACAAGGACCTTCGACTTTGCATTGACTACCGACGCCTCAACGTGCAAACCATCAAGAACGTGGGGCCTCTACCTCGCATTGACGATTTGCTTGAGCGGTTGGGCGGCACCAAGTACTTTTCGAAGTTGGACCTCAAGTCGGACTACCATCAGATTTCCATACGCCTGCAAGATCGGTACAAAACCGCGTTTAAGACGCAATATGGGCATTTTGAGTGGGTAGATATGCCTTTTGGCCTCACCAATGCCCTGGCCACCTTTCAGGCGGCCATGACCACCGAGTTTCGCGCTATGTTGGACCGCTTCGTTTTGGTCTACTTAGACGACATCCTCGTCTATAGCCGAACTCTAGAGGAGCATCTCGAGCACCTTCGCCGTGTTCTAGAGACTCTTCGGTCAACTCGGTACAAAGCTAACCGCGATAAATGCGAGTTTGTCCAGCAAGAGCTTGAATACTTGGGTCATTTTGTCTCTCCGGAAGGGATTCGTCCGTTAACGGACAAGATTCAAGCCATCCAGGAGTGGCCCGAGCCGAAGAATGTGCCGGACGTCCGATCCTTCCTCGGCTTGGCCGGTTATTATCAGCGCTTCATCAAGGGTTACTCGAAGATCGCGGCCAACCTAAGCAAGTTACAAATCGAGGAGCGGCCTTTTGACTTCGACGACAACGCGCGCCATTCTTTTAAGACACTCAAAGCGGCGCTCTTGTCCGCCGAGGTATTACATATTTACGACCCGCTTCTAGCTACGCGCGTCACTACCGATGCGTCCGGGTATGGCATTGGGGCCGTCCTTGAGCAGCACGATGACATGGACTGGCACCCGGTCGAGTACTTTAGCAAGAAAGTACCTCCCGTGCATTCGATCGACGACGCACGGAAGAAGGAGCTTCTTGCCTTTGTCCACGCCTTCAAGCGTTGGTGACATTTCCTCCTCGGTTGAAAAGCATTCCGATGGGTAACGGATAACAATCCGTTGGTATTCTACAAGTCGCAAGACACGATTAACGGTACCATTGCCCGTTGGATGACTTTCATCGACCAGTTTGACTTTTTCTCCGATCACATTCCCGGGAAGTCAAAYCGTTTTGCGGACGCCCTCTCACGGCGACCGGATCTTTGCACCGCAGTCTACTCTACCTTCGAGATCGACGATGACTTGCAGGAGAGCTTCATCCGCGACTATCAAGCCGACCACCAATTTCGCGACAAGTAAGCGAATTGCTCCTCTCCGAATCCGGTGCCTTCGCATTATCGGATCCAAGAGGGCTACTTATTGGTGCATTCACGGGGTAAGGATCTTCTTTGTGTGCCGAATGATTCACACTTGCGCACTCGGCTTCTTGGCGAGTTTCACGATGCGCCCGCTTCCGGACATTTTGGTGTCAACCGTACACTTGGCCGACTTCGCCAGCGGTTCTATTGGCCCGACCTTCTCAAGGACGCCACCCGCTATTGTGAGTCGTGCGAAGTCTGTCGGCGTTGCAAGTCACGCAACCATCGTCCGTTCGGCGAGCTACACCCATTACCAGTGCCCCTTGGGCGACGAGATGCAATTGCTATGGATATCACCGGCCCCTTCCCGAAGCACAAGACCGGCGTTGATGGGATGCTCACGGTTGTCGACCGCCTCACCAAGTACGCCATGTTTTTGCCTTGCCGCTATCTCGCAAAGGCACCGGAGTTAGCCGAGGTCTTATACACTGGTTGGATTCGTTCCAAGGGCTACCCCAAGGAGATCGTTTGCGACCGGGACACTCGCTTTCTCTCCGACTTTTGGGTCACCCTCGTCAAGCGATGGGGCTCATCTTTGAAGCCGAGTTCGGCTCGCCACCCACGAACCGATGGTCGAACGGAAAGGGCGCATCAGACCGCTCAAGTCCTTCTCCGCACTCTCATCCGTCCCGACCAGGTTGATTGGGTTGAGCGCTTGCCAGACGTTGAGTTGGCATACAACTCATTGATCCACCCGGCTATCGGGATGTCGCCGTTCGAGTTTGAGCATGGTTCACCCATCTCATCGCCGTTGGACGCTACTTTGCCGCGCACAGCCGAGAGCGACGACCATCTTGCGTTCCTTCGTCGCATGCAAAAGCTTCTTGTCAAGGCACGGGATCAGATGTCGAAGACGCAAATACGGATGAGCCGTCATGCCAACCGCAATCGCCTTCCTTGCCCGTTCCGCGCCGGCGATCTAGTTTGGGTCTTCGCAGCGGAGTTCAGCCTACCCTCTTTCCATGGACGGATTTCAGGAGGYCGGCTACATCATCACCGACCGGCGCCATGGCAACAAAGAAACAGAGTTTCTACTTCACTTTTCCTACTGCAGCCACAAGGCTGACTGTTGGCTGACGCGTTCGGAACTGCAAGCCACAACCCCTGCTGTTCTCTCACGCTATCTTAGCAAAGGGATAACTACGCAGAGCACTCCAGCTCCTCGCCATCCTCGCCACATTCCGCCATCAGATCGGCAGCTTCGCCCGCACCCCGGCTCGTCTTCATAAGGAGGGGGGCGTGTTACATGCTGAAAGCCTACACACGGGCCCTTCACGGGACCCGAGGTTGGAATAGGGCCCCCAGGTCGCGTCACCGCAACCTGAAGGCCCTATGGCATTTTTACTTGGGCCTGCATCAGAAAAACGCCAGCTTTAGATTATTTTTATAGTCTTTATTTTATTTATTTGCTGCTGTTTTTCTAACGGGTGTACCGTTGTCCGTTTTGTGGCCAGGTACACGCTTCTAGGGCCAGGGCCAGATTCAGGCCCAGAGGCTGAGCTCCTAAAAACGTTTGGACCTTTTCTTTTGTTTTCGAACAGATTTTGACCTGTTCGAACCCAGGCCGACTTTGAGGCCGGGTACG